TATGCCAGGTGCTGTGCCAGGTGCTATACCAGAGGCTATGTAAGGTGCTATACCTGCTGCTATGTCAAGTGCTGTACCAGGTGCTATACCTGATGATATGCCTGGTGCTATGCCATATGCTATTGAAGGTGCTATGCCATATGCTATTGAAGGTGCTATGCCATATGCTATTGAAGGTGCTATGCCAGATGCTATTGAAGGTGCTATGCCGGGTGATATGCCTGGTGCTATGCCAGATGCAATTCAATTTGCTATTCAAGGAGCTATGCAAGGTGCTGTGCCATGTGCTATACCTGATGATATGCCTGGTGCTATGCCATATGCTATTGAAGGTGCTATGCCATATGCTATTGAAGGTGCTATGCCAGATGCTATTGAAGCTGATATGCCTGGTGCTATGCCAGATGCAATTCAATTTGCTATTCAAGGTGCTATGCAAGGTGCTATGCCAAGTGCTATGCAAGGTGCTATGCAAGGTGCTATGCAAGGTGCTATGCGAGGTGCTATGCGAGGTGCTATGCCTGATGCTATGCCTGATGCTATGCCAGATGCTATTTAGGGTACTATGACAGATGCTGTGCAAGGTGCTATGCCAGATGATATGCTTGGTGTTATACCTGGTGTAATGCCAGATGCTATTCAAGGTGCTACGCCAGATGTTATGCAAGGTGCTATGCCAGATGCTATGCAAGGTGCTATGCCAGATACTATGCCAGCTGCTACGCAAGGTGAGCAATCGGCTCCTTGGCAAGATCGTAGTTCTGAACCATGGCAAGGTTGTGGTCCTGGTCCTTGGAATGGCCCTGGTCCTTGGAATGGCCCTGGTCCTTGGAATGGCCCTGGTCCTTGGAATGGCCCTGGTCCTTGGAATGGCCCTGGTCCTTGGGATGGCCCTAGACCTTGGGATGGCCCTAGACCTTGGGATGGCCCTAGACCTTGGGATGGCCCTGGTCCTTGGGATGGCCCTGGTCCTTGGGATGGCCCTGGTCCTTGGGATGGCCCTGGTCCTTGGGATGGCCCTGGTCCTAGGCAAGGCCCTCCATATGGTCGCAGACCTGGCTTACGACGTCCTCCTCGCTATTATAGTTGTACTAAACGACATAACCAACATAACCAACCAGTCGCCATGCTTGAATGCGGGTGCAAATTATCTTATACCTTTATCGTATTAGTGATAATACTTGTAATGGGTACTCTCCTTTTTTTTATATATGTTTATTTATTATTTCTTGTGATTACTTATTTATATATTAGAATTTTATCTAACTCCTGATATTCGCAGTACGTGTACACACACACATATATATAACCTCTCGTGTGTGTGTGTGCGTGTTTATTTATCTATTTATGAATATATATGTATAGATATACATGGGGGCGCGGTGGAAGAGTGGTTAGAGCATCGGACTCAGAAAAGTCACGACAATCTGAGTGCGAGGGTTCGAGTCCCGGCCGGCGCGTTGTTCCCTTAGGCAAGGAACTTCACCTCAATTGTCTGATGGTATGAATGGATGTGTGAATGTGTATAGTGAAAGTCAATGGAGCGAATGAGGGAAAGAGAGATGGTGAACTCTTTAATCACCCGAAGGAAGACAACGTGAAACCACCTTCGTACACTCCCTTGTACAACCATGAAATTAAACATGGTCGCCACGGACGCCAAAAAAAAAAAAAAAAAAAAAAAAAAAAAAAATCAACCCTATATCTAATCAGCCGCGTTTCGACCGCGGCGGTGGCTTCCCCTACGACACCTACGTTTGACTTCTCAAGGCGATATGTCGTTTTCTCGGAGTCGAGCTAGCAGTCAGAGCGCAGACATTTTTACGACCGCTGCGACGGGGAATTGGGACTCGGGCCCACGAGGGTCGGAGTCCAATGCTTTAACCACTGAGCTATCGCGGTAATCATATATATATATATATATATATATATATATATATATATATATATATATATGTATGTATGTATGTATGTATATATATATATATATATATATATATATATATATATATATATATATATGACTGCCGCGATAGCTCAGTGGTTAGAGCATTGGACTCCGACCCTCGTGGGCCCGAGTCCCAATTCCCCGTCGCGGCGGTCGTATATATATACATACATATATATATATATATATATATATATATATATATATATATATATATATATACATACATATATATATATATATATATATGTATGTATATATATATATATGCATATGCAAGGTACCATTTCAGGTGCTATGCCAGGTGTTATACCTGGTGCTGTGACAGGTACTTTGCCAGGTGCTATGCCAGGTGCTATGCCTGGTGCTATACCAGATGCTATGCAAGGTACCATTTCAGGTGCTATGCCAGGTGTTATGCCTGGTGCTGTGACAGGTACTTTGCCAGGTGTTATGCCAGGTGCTATGACTGGTGCTATGCAAGGTGCTATGCCTGGTGCTATACCAGATGCTATGCAAGGTACCATTTCAGGTGCTATGCCAGGTGTTATGCCTGGTGCTGTGACAGGTACTTTGCCAGGTGTTATGCCAGGTGCTATGCCAGGTGTTATGCCAGGTGCTATGCCAGGTGTTATACCAGGTGTTATGCCTGGTGCTATGCAAGGTGCTATGCCTGGTGCTATACCAGATGCTATGCAAGGTACCATTTCAGGTGCTATGCCAGGTGTTATGCCTGGTACTGTGACAGGTACTTTGCCAGGTGTTATGCCAGGTGTTATGCCTGGTGCTATGCCAGGTGCTATGCCTGGTGCTATGCCTGGTGCTATGCCTGGTGCTATACCAGATGCTATGCAAGGTACCATTTCAGGTGCTATGCCAGGTGTTATGCCTGGTGCTGTGACAGGTACTTTGCCAGGTGTTATGCCAGGTGCTATGCCAGGTGCTATGCCAGGTGCTATGCCTGGTGCTATACCAGATGCTATGCAAGGTACTATTTCAGGTACTATGACAGGTGTTATGCCTGGTGCTATGCCTGTTGCTATACCAGATGCTATGCAAGGTACTATTTCAGGTGCTGTGACAGGTGTTATTCCAGGTATTATGCCTGGTGCTGTGACAGGTACTGTACCAGGTGTTATGCCAGGTGTTATGCCAGGTGCTATGCCAGGTGCTATGCCCGGTGCTATGCCAGGTGCTGTGCCAGGTGCTATACCAGAGGCTATGTAAGGTGCTATACCTGCTGCTATGTCAAGTGCTGTACCAGGTGCTATACCTGATGATATGCCTGGTGCTATGCCATATGCTATTGAAGGTGCTATGCCATATGCTATTGAAGGTGCTATGCCAGATGCTATTGAAGGTGCTATGCCAGATGCTATTGAAGGTGCTATGCCCCGTGATATGCCTGGTGCTATGCCAGATGCAATTCAATTTGCTATTCAAGGAGCTATGCAAGGTGCTGTACCATGTGCTATACCTGATGATATGCCTGGTGCTATGCCATATGCTATTGAAGGTGCTATGCCATATGCTATTGAAGGTGCTATGCCAGATGCTATTGAAGCTGATATGCCTGGTGCTATGCCAGATGCAATTCAATTTGCTATTCAAGGTGCTATGCAAGGTGCTATGCCAAGTGCTATGCAAGGTGCTATGCAAGGTGCTATGCCTGATGCTATGCCAGATGCTATGCCAGATGCTATTTAGGGTACTATGACATGCTGTGCAAGGTGCTATGCCAGATGATATGCTTGGTGTTATACCTGGTGTAATGCCAGATGCTATTCAAGGTGCTACGCCAGATGTTATGCAAGGTGCTATGCCAGATGCTATGCAAGGTGCTATGCCAGCTGCTACGCAAGGTGAGCAATCTAACCACTGAGCTATCGCGGCAGTCATATATATATATATATATATATATATATATATATATATACATACATACATACATATATATATATATATGTATGTATGTATGTATATATATATATATATGACTGCCGCGATAGCTCAGTGGTTAGATTGCTCACCTTGCGTAGCAGCTGGCATAGTATCTGGCATAGCACCTTGCATAGCATCTGGCATAGCACCTTGCATAACATCTGGCGTAGCACCTTGAATAGCATCTGGCATTACACCAGGTATAACACCAAGCATATCATCTGGCATAGCACCTTGCACAGCATCTGTCATAGTACCCTAAATAGCATCTGGCATAGCATCTGGCATAGCATCAGGCATAGCATCAGGCATAGCACCTTGCATAGCACCTTGCATAGCACTTGGCATAGCACCTTGCATAGCACCTTGAATAGCAAATTGAATTGCATCTGGCATAGCACCAGGCATATCAGCTTCAATAGCATCTGGCATAGCACCTTCAATAGCATATGGCATAGCACCTTCAATAGCATATGGCATAGCACCAGGCATATCATCAGGTATAGCACATGGTACAGCACCTTGCATAGCTCCTTGAATAGCAAATTGAATTGCATCTGGCATAGCACCAGGCATATCACCCGGCATAGCACCTTCAATAGCATCTGGCATAGCACCTTCAATAGCATCTGGCATAGCACCTTCAATAGCATATGGCATAGCACCTTCAATAGCATATGGCATAGCACCAGGCATATCATCAGGTATAGCACCTGGTACAGCACTTGACATAGCAGCAGGTATAGCACCTTACATAGCCTCTGGTATAGCACCTGGCACAGCACCTGGCATAGCACCGGGCATAGCACCTGGCATAGCACCTGGCATAACACCTGGCATAACACCTGGTACAGTACCTGTCACAGCACCAGGCATAATACCTGGAATAACACCTGTCACAGCACCTGAAATAGTACCTTGCATAGCATCTGGTATAGCAACAGGCATAGCACCAGGCATAACACCTGTCATAGTACCTGAAATAGTACCTTGCATAGCATCTGGTATAGCACCAGGCATAGCACCTTGCATAGCCCCAGGCATAACACCTGGCATAGCACCTGGCATAACACCTGGCAAAGTACCTGTCACAGCACCAGGCATAACACCTGGCATAGCACCTGAAATGGTACCTTGCATAGCATCTGGTATAGCACCAGGCATAGCACCAGGCATAGCACCTGGCATAGCACCAGGCATAACACCTGGCATAACACCTGGCAAAGTACCTGTCACAGTACCAGGCATAACACCTGGCATAGCACCTGAAATGGTACCTTGCATAGCATCTGGTATAGCACCAGGCATAGCACCTTGCATAGCACCAGGCATAACACCTGGTATAACACCTGGCATAGCACCTGGCATAACACCTGGCATAGCACCTGGCATAACACCTGGCAAAGTACCTGTCACAGCACCAGGCATAACACCTGGCATAGCACCTGAAATGGTACCTTGCATAGCATCTGGTATAGCACCAGGCATAGCACCTTGCATAGCACCAGTCATAACACCTGGCATAACACCTGGCAAAGTACCTGTCACAGCACCAGGCATAACACCTGGCATAGCACCTGAAATGGTACCTTGCATAGCATCTGGTATAGCACCAGGCATAGCACCTGGCATAGCACCTGGCAAAGTACCTGTCACAGCACCAGGTATAACACCTGGCATAGCACCTGAAATGGTACCTTGCATAGCATCTGGTATAGCACCAGGAATAGCACCTTGCATAGCACCTTGCATAGCACCTGGCATAACACCTGGTATAGCACCAAGCATAGCATCTTGCATAGCACGAGGCATAGCACCTGGCATAGCACCTTGCATAGCACCTGGCATAGCACCAGGTATAACACCAGGACCACAATCTTGCCAAGCAGGATTATACTCAGCAGCAGGTTGCATTCACACACACACATGCACACACCGTATGTGTTTGCATGTGCGTGTTAGCATGAATGCACAAGCGCACGCGCGGATTTGCAAATGTTGGATCTGTCTTACTTAGATACGATGCTGGTAGCCCTTGGTCATTTGTTATGGCCCGCCTACCAGCATAGAACTCGACAATAGGAACAGCCAGACATTTACCTGTGAGTTCTTTGGCAGCTGGTTGGTGCCCGCATTCACAGTGAATATTCCAAAGCGAAGATCAAATGCTTTGTGTTAAATAAAAATAACAATAATAATGACAATAGCATCCGTAATAATAATCCGTTTGTATATGAACTGAGGATTCATTTTCATCTGGGTTCTAATTACTGTCCCTGTTGTGGTTATTCTAATGAGATTAGCTGTTATTATTATTGTCACCTATTGCTATTGTCATTATTATTGTTATTATTATTATTATCATTATTACTATTATTGTCGTTGTTATTTTTACTCTTATTGATATTATTTTATTGTTGTTATCATTAGCATTAGTATTCATGTTGATACTGCTTGCGCTCTGACTGCTTGCTATATATATATAATGCAGCCACTGGGTGATAGATTCCACTATCATTTGGTGCCGGTCCCAAGCCCGGATGAATGCAGAGGGTTGCGACAGCTGACAAGCGGCGTAAAACCATGCCAAATCATGATGCGCGGAAACGACCGCCGCTGTGGCTATGGCCCAACAGGGCTACGGCGGAAACTACGCTACTGTTGGTCAACCCAGAGAGACAAGAAGAAGGAGAAGCGGTGTACATGTGAGAAAGAAAAGGGAGAGAGCGACTAAAGAAGTGGTCATCAGGATAGGGACGCTTAACGTGGGAACAATGACTGGGAAGAGCAGGGAACTGGTAAACATGATGGAACGAAGGAAGCTGGAAATACCGTGTGTGCAAGAGACAAGATGGAAGGGCAGTAAAGCCAGAGAACTTGGAGCTGGTTCCAAATTATTCTACCATGGAGAAGTCAGTGGAAGAAATGAGTGGGTGTAGTGGTGAAAGAAAAGTATATTAATGGCGTGCTTGAAGTACGTAGAATGTCAGATAGGATAATGTGTGAAACCGGAAATAGAAGGAATGGTGTCAAACTTTATTTCAGCGTGTGCACCACAAGTGAAAGGCTAATCATTGGAGTAGAGTTCAGTGGACACATCGGCGTGGGAAACGGAGGAGACGAGGGACTGATGAGAAAGTTCGGGTATGGCACACGCAATGGCTGTAATAAACACCCTCTACAAGCGGGAATCCCACACGATCTTTTTCCTAGGGCTGACGAGGTTAAATAGGGTCCCAAACGCGGCAGTTAGAAAGCAGCTGCAAACTAGAAGATTTGGGGATAAGCTAAGAGAAAGTAGGCTGAGGTGGTTCGGGCATGTAAAGAGGAGACCAGAGGACTACGTTGGGCGAAAGATGATGGAGATGGCACCACCAGGAAAGAGGAGGGGAGGGAAACCGAAGAGAAGATTCATGGATGCTGTCGAAGAAGACATGAAAATAGTGGGAACACGCCGAAAGGCAAAAATATATTTTTACGACCGCCGCGACGGGGAACCGAACTCGGGACCACGAGGGTCGGAGTCCAGTGCTCTAACCACTGAGCTATCGCGGCAGTATATATGTATAAATATATATATATATATATATATATATATATATATACATATATATATATATATGTATGTATATATATGTATGTATATATATGTATATGTATATATATATATATATATATGTATATATATATATATATATATATACATATATATATATATATATATGTATACATATATATATATATATACATACATATATATATATATATATGTATATATATATATATATATATATATATATATATATATATATATATGTATGTATATATATACGACCGCCGCGACGGGGAATTGGGACTCGGGCCCACGAGGGTCGGAGTCCAATGCTCTAACCTCTGAGCTATCGCGGCAGTCATATATATATATATATATATATATATACATACATACATATATATATATATATATATGTATGTATGTATGTATGTATATATATATATATATATATATATATATATATATATATATATATATATATATATGACTGCCGCGATAGCTCAGTGGTTAGAGCATTGGACTCCGACCCTCGTGGGCCCGAGTCCCAATTCCCCGTCGCGGCGGTCGTATATATATACATACATATATATATATATATATATACATATATATATATGTATACATATATATATATATATATATATATATATATACATACATATATATATATATATTGGACGTCTTCCAGCAGCAGTGATTGGACGTCTTCCAGCAGCAGTGATTGGACATCATTCAACAGCAGTGAGTATTTGTTATTTAGCAGTAGTTACTGGACGTCATCCAGCGGATTTTTCTGGACGACGAGTTGTAGCAGATGCTAGATTTCACACCCTAAGAAACGTGGTGAGGACCCTCGGTATCAGAAAGACCCAAGTTGGATATTGACCAGGAGCACTGACTTTGGAGGTCTCTAGCCTTGGCTGTACCCTGTTGGGGAAATGCAGTATCTTCCTCCTGGGCAGTAACCTGCTGCTGAGTATAATCCTGCTTGGCAAGATTGTGGTCCTGGTGTTATACCTGGTGCTATGCCAGGTGCTATGTAAGGTGCTATGCCAGGTGCTATGCCTCGTGCTATGCAAGATGCTATGCAAGATGCTATGCTTGGTGCTATGCCAGGTGTTATGCCAGGTGCTAAGCCAGGTGCTATGCCTGGTGCTATGCAAGGTGCTATGCAAGGTGCTATTCCTGGTGCTATACCAGATGCTATGCAAGGTACCATTTCAGGTGCTATGCCAGGTGTTATACCTGGTGCTGTGACAGGTACTTTGCCAGGTGCTATGCCAGGTGCTATGCCTGGTGCTATACCAGATGCTATGCAAGGTACCATTTCAGGTGCTATGCCTGGTGCTATACCAGATGCTATGCAAGGTACCATTTCAGGTGCTATGCCAGGTGTTATGCCTGGTGCTGTGACAGGTACTTTGCCAGGTGTTATGCCAGGTGCTATGACTGGTGCTATGCAAGGTGCTATGCCTGGTGCTATACCAGATGCTATGCAAGGTACCATTTCAGGTGCTATGCCAGGTGTTATGCCTGGTGCTGTGACAGGTACTTTGCCAGGTGTTATGCCAGGTGCTATGCCAGGTGTTATGCCAGGTGCTATGCCAGGTGTTATACCAGGTGTTATGCCAGGTGTTATGCCTGGTGCTATGCCAGGTGCTATGCCTGGTGCTATGCAAGGTGCTATGCCTGGTGCTATGCAAGGTGCTATGCCTGGTGCTATACCAGATGCTATGCAAGGTACCATTTCAGGTGCTATGCCAGGTGTTATGCCTGGTACTGTGACAGGTACTTTGCCAGGTGTTATGCCAGGTGTTATGCCTGGTGCTATGCCAGGTGCTATGCCTGGTGCTATGCCTGGTGCTATGCCTGGTGCTATACCAGATGCTATGCAAGGTACCATTTCAGGTGCTATGCCAGGTGTTATGCCTGGTGCTGTGACAGGTACTTTGCCAGGTGTTATGCCAGGTGCTATGCCAGGTGTTATGCCAGGTGCTATGCCAGGTGTTATGCCTGGTGCTATGCCTGGGGCTATGCAAGGTGCTATGCCTGGTGCTATACCAGATGCTATGCAAGGTACTATTTCAGGTACTATGCCAGGTGCTATGCCAGGTGTTATGCCAGGTGTTATGCCTGGTGCTATGCCTGTTGCTATACCAGATGCTATGCAAGGTACTATTTCAGGTGCTGTGACAGGTGTTATTCCAGGTATTATGCCTGGTGCTGTGACAGGTACTGTACCAGGTGTTATGCCAGGTGTTATGCCAGGTGCTATGCCAGGTGCTATGCCCGGTGCTATGCCAGGTGCTGTGCCAGGTGCTGTGCCAGGTGCTATACCAGAGGCTATGTAAGGTGCTATACCTGCTGCTATGTCAAGTGCTGTACCAGGTGCTATACCTGATGATATGCCTGGTGCTATGCCATATGCTATTGAAGGTGCTATGCCATATGCTATTGAAGGTGCTATGCCAGATGCTATTGAAGGTGCTATGCCAGATGCTATTGAAGGTGCTATGCCCCGTGATATGCCTGGTGCTATGCCAGATGCAATTCAATTTGCTATTCAAGGAGCTATGCAAGGTGCTGTACCATGTGCTATACCTGATGATATGCCTGGTGCTATGCCATATGCTATTGAAGGTGCTATGCCATATGCTATTGAAGGTGCTATGCCAGATGCTATTGAAGCTGATATGCCTGGTGCTATGCCAGATGCAATTCAATTTGCTATTCAAGGTGCTATGCAAGGTGCTATGCCAAGTGCTATGCAAGGTGCTATGCAAGGTGCTATGCAAGGTGCTATGCGAGGTGCTATGCGAGGTGCTATGCCTGATGCTATGCCTGATGCTATGCCAGATGCTATTTAGGGTACTATGACAGATGCTGTGCAAGGTGCTATGCCAGATGATATGCTTGGTGTTATACCTGGTGTAATGCCAGATGCTATTCAAGGTGCTACGCCAGATGTTATGCAAGGTGCTATGCCAGATGCTATGCAAGGTGCTATGCCAGATACTATGCCAGCTGCTACGCAAGGTGAGCAATCGGCTCCTTGGCAAGATCGTAGTTCTGAACCATGGCAAGGTTGTGGTCCTGGTCCTTGGAATGGCCCTGGTCCTTGGAATGGCCCTGGTCCTTGGAATGGCCCTGGTCCTTGGAATGGCCCTGGTCCTTGGAATGGCCCTGGTCCTTGGGATGGCCCTAGACCTTGGGATGGCCCTAGACCTTGGGATGGCCCTGGTCCTTGGGATGGCCCTGGTCCTTGGGATGGCCCTGGTCCTTGGGATGGCCCTGGTCCTTGGG